TATAGGGTCATTATTTTGTCTTCCCCAATCTATCTTCTTGTCCCCTAAGACTCACATCTCATATGTAAAATTTGTTAACCTCTAATATCCCTGAAAGTCTCAACTTATTATAACATCAATTCCAAGTTTAATATTTTATCTAAACATCATTGCCTGAAAAGTCCCAAATTTTTTTGTTGAAATCACATAGAGATTATGCACTGTGTATGGTGCATGCTAGGGTAAAATTCTCTGTGGGCATAAACCATTTTAATGCCTTTTTCCTCCATCCCTCCCTCCCTTCTTTCTTTACTTCCTTCCTTCCTTCCTTCCTTCCTTCTTTCTTTTCTTTATTCATTCATTCTTTTTGTACCGTGTACCTAAAATACAACGATGGAATAAGCAAAGGCTCAGGTAGGGGACCAAATGGAAGGAGAAAGCTCCAAGCAGTTTCTGAACCTAGCCAGAATTAGATTTCAAGGCCTGGGAGTAATTTTCTATTACTTGCAACTCCACCCTCTAGTTTGCCCTCTGAGCATATGGCTCCACCATGAAAGTCATCCTTTGTTGTTCATGAAGGATAACACGTGTTTGCATCTGAGTGTTTTCATCAGCCTACTTCCTTTCTGCAGAATTTTGAGGGTCCAGCAGGCTTATTTTTATTTTGTAGTCTGTCCATCACTTTGAGTTCAAGCTAAAAGATTTTTTTGTTATTCTTGTTGTCGCTTCTTGAGAAGCTTGTACGTCTTCCATATATGTTCTAGATATTCACTCTGTTCAGCAAAAGCCTCTTGATTCCTAGATAGTCCTATTTATATTCTTGGCTTCAGCTGAGGTGACTGAGATGGCTAAGTCACATGCTTAATCTTTGGAGAGAACCTTTTGGGGTGACTTCCTACTCTGACTTTTTGATCTTTATGAGCTATTGGTTTAGACAACCTCACCCTTCTCTTTGAAGCATGTTTTTTTCCTAGCAGTTAATCTTTGAATTTTAGCATCTGTGGCATTTGGGTGGGTGGTGAATTTTCCTCATCAAGTCCCTGGTTCCTTTTAGTTTGACGATTCTTTCAATTTATCTCTTCGCTTTTAACTTTTGCAACAGTGGCAGGAAGAAACCAGGGCATGCTATCAATGATTTGTCCAGTTATCTCCTTAGCAAAATGTCCAGTTTCATTATGTATACGTGTGCTTTCCACATACCTATAGGACAGTCTTATTAAGCCTTCTGCCATTATGTAAAAGATGTTGCCTTACCTTATGTTCTGCGCTATGTTCCTCATTTCTTTATGAGCCTTCATTAGAAATGTGTTGATTTGGATTTTCTGAAACACAGTGTGTGCTTTCTTTACCATTCTTCTAAACCCTCACTAGGGAATTGTTCAACACCCATATTTCTGCTGTGTATTCAAGGCAATCTAGTCTTTGTTCATAGTGCTTCTCAAAATGCTTCCAACGTCTGCAAATGCCCAATCCCCAAACCTCTTACATTTTTAGATATTAGTTAGCAATAGCATCCCACTTCCAGGTACCCAAATCCATCACATTCCTATTAGTTGTATCATGTGCTTGTGAATCTGACTTCAGTCAATCTATATTTAAAGAAATAGTCACTAGAAAAATTTCTGTCGTTTTGCATTTGTTTTCTAATACTCCTTGTATCTTTTTGGTCCCTCATTTTCTTTTTACATACATACGCACATATATGTGTATATACATATATATACATATAAACACACATGTAAGATTTACTCATTTTTATTTGAGTAGCAGATTTACAGACAGATTTTGCATTCATTGCTTCACTCCCCAAATGGCCCCAATGGCTGGAACTGAGTCAATCCAAAGCCAGAAGCCAGGGATTTCTTCCTGGTTTCCCAAATAGTTATAGGGGCCCAAAAACCTGAGCCATCTTCCACTGCTTTCCCTGACCATAAGCAGGGAGTTGCATTAGAAGTAGAGCAGCCAGGACTAAAACTGGCCCCCATATAGAAGGAGTGCTGGCACTGCAGGCAGCAGATTGAATGTTAAGCCACTGCATTGATTTGGTCTGTACTTTTTCTAAACTGTTGTCTTTTTGGTTTAGTTGATTTGCTTTTGGTATCAAAATGTTTAAACTGTTTTCTAATTTCCTTTTGCATATGTTCTGGAACTGTTTTTGTGGTTATCATGAGGATTACATACACTTAAATTATGATAGTAATTTAAATTTATATCAGCTTAACTTGAATTGCATACGAAAAAATTCTGCTAAGCTTGGTCACTGCCCACTCACTGATATCACAAAACGTGATCATTATATGCTGTATGCCAAACCTTCAGTGCATTAGTCTCTTAAATTATACAGAAAACAAAATATGTACTTACAAATCAAAGTTACAGTAATACTGTCTGCTAGACTTATATTTCTTGTGTCTTGATGTGACTGTCCATGAGTTCTTTCTGCCTAGGATCAATTGGGTATCTTAGGTTATTTTTTTATTCTTGTTCTTCAACATATTTGGCAAATTTTCAGCCATTATTCTTTTCAGATTTTCTTGCTGCCTGCTGTAGGACTAGGTATGGGAGGTGGGTAGCTGTTATTTTGCCCAAGAAAAAAATAACCAAAATTCACCTTGATTTGCCACCCTCAAGCCTTACCCTGGAACCCATCAGCCTTGAATAGATTCCAGCATTCTGATTTGGTTATATTGTATTTGACTGTTGCAGTAGTTGTTTAGGCAAAGAAACAGATTTTGTATGCTTCCTGCTTTGCCATCTTCCCAGAAGACTATCTAATCTAAAAAGACAGTTTTAAGTAGATTTTGTTAAGAGGAGACAGGAGTAGTTCTTGATCTGTTTCTGGATAAAAGAATATAACATACAGGTTGGAATATTGGCAGTTTGAAGGAACAGAAGGGAACTTATGTGGATATGTTAACCTTGTCCAGATAGTGAGAATAGAATTTAATGTGAATAATATAGAGGTGAGCGAGAATTCATCTTCAGAGTAGTGAAGCTCTGCAAAATGCTTGTGGAATGATCTGGAGGTTCAAGAAATTGAAAACAGTTTAAAAGATTGATTTATGGGGCTGGAGCTGTAATTAGCTGGGTAATCCACCTATAGGTGCCAGCATCCGATTTGGGCACTGGTTCACATTCCAGCTGCTTCAGTTTCCATCCTGCCACCTGCTTCTGTCCTGGGAAAAAACAGGAACATGGGCCAAAGCCTTGGGAGCCTGTACCCATGTGGGAGACCTGTAAGAGAGACTCGTAGCCCCTGACTTCAGATCAGCTTAACTCTAGCCGTTGAGGCCACTTGGGGAGTGAACCAGTGATGGAAGATTCTCTCTCTCCCTCTGCTCCCTCTCTACCTTTCAAATAAAATGAAAAAGAAACCAATAAATTTGTTTATTTATATTTAAAAGGCAGATTTACAGAGAGAATAAACAGATAGGGAGAGAGACCTTCCATCTGCTAGTTCATTCCCAAGACCGCTACAGTGGCTGGAACTGAGCTGATCTGAAGTCATGATCCTGGAGAGTTGTCAAGGTGCAGGGGCCTGAGGCCTTGTGCCACTACTTTCCCAGGACAGAAGTGGAGCAATCAGGACATGAATCAGCACCCATATAAATCCTGGCACTTACAGGTAGAGGCTTGGCATGCTATGCCGTGGTGCTGGCCCCCAAAACATTTTAAATTCCAACTTTAAATATTCTGGGTTGTGGAATTCAATAGGAGTCAGTAATTAGAACGTTAGGCATTGTTAAAGTAAAATTCAGGTTTTGGCTTTCACAAATTACATATGTGTTGATTCTGTATATACTATTGTATATTTGGAAAGAAATATAAAAAGTAATAGCAAAATAATAGTTGTGTAGTAGAATGTTGAAAGGGGCTTGTTTCCCATAGGTACAGTAACTTCTGGCAGTGGCAGTTGCGGATAAGGGAACTATATAAACATATTCAAGTTAACATGTGGTGAATTTATAGAATATAGGGTACACTATTTAATCCTCGGACTTTCCACTTGTTCTTGAATTCTTTACCTGTAATCTTCTGACAGTCATATAACTTTGTATCACCATATAAGTTATTTGGCTTTGTCCTAACTTTGTTATGTGGTTCTCTGTTAACAATCTGTGACGTTAGCTTACCCCTTCCCTCTGATTTTCTATAAGCCCCCAAAGTTTGTAGAGCTTTTTTATTTTGCACAGTCATGGAGATAGGAGAAACAAAGATCTTCCATCTTTTGATTCACTCGCCAATGGTCTAGGCTGGGACAGCTCCAAAGCCAGGAGCCCAAAACTACATCCTGGTTTCCCACATGGATTTTGGGGGTTCAAGTACTTGGGTCATCTCCCACTGCTTTCACAGGTGCATTACTAAAGATCTGTGTTGGAAGTGGAGGAGCAGAGACTTGAGCTGATGCTTATAGGAGATGCAGACATCACACAGTGCAGCTTAGCCCACTGTGGCACAATGCCGAGCACTAGAACTCTACTTTTTAGCACTTATGACCATTATGCCTCTTCAAGCAAAGTGATAATTCAACATTGTGACTTTCTCATTTTGCTATGTAGTTTGCATGGGATTCCCATCTTATTTTTAAAAATTGTTTTATGACACCATTTAATAGGCATTGGGGTCTCCCTTGTCCTTCCTTAAGTTCCCTCCTCTCCCTGCTGTTCTCCCTTCTCACAATGGGTGTCTTTCATGAATTTTCACAAGTCCATCATGCTGCCACTGAGGTGTCTCCCAACAATGTTTTGATTATTAGCTGTATTGCTGTGAGTCCATCCTTGTACTGCATGCATGCTTTGAACGTATTAATTTCTGCTACACTTCCACTATGCATCACCTTGAGTACAGTCCATCATGGGGAGAAAAAAAAACAAAAAAATTTTAAAGGTATATGTGTTTAAAGTGATTATGGATATGCTGAATTTTTGGTTTATGCAAAATTGGGGGACTGTCAGAAGTTGAAAAAGTGTTTCACAGGTGTTGATTTTTGATATTACTTCATTACCTTTAATTTCTTTCAGATTGACAATAAATGCGCTTGCCCAGAAGCTCAATGCTTATTGGAAGGAAAAGACATCTCAAGAGAATTTTGAGACCTCATACCTAGCTAGATCAATACCGTGAGTAACAAATTATAGAATATAAATATATTAATGGTAATGCCCATAGAGCAAATAAAAGGAACAAGGGTAAGACAGGTTTTTTGTTTGTTTTTTGTTTTGTTTTGTTTTTGCATCTGAAAGTTTAATTAGCTTGCATCAGTTTCTAAAGCTCTTCATTCTGGTTTAACACTCATGTGGTTTGGATGATATTAACAGCTTTATCATGATCAGTTTATAACAGGCAATGTATTGTGGACGACAAAGGCTATTTAAATTAGATACTTATGTTTTTAAAATCTCGATCTCTTTTGATGGTTAGAAAAGCTTAGATAAGTAAGTTGCTTCACCTGATTTATGGCATATTGGTGATATATCATTTCAACGTAGTGCCTGATATGTATAATAAGAGTTTGGTTGTGTCAGCAAACTTCCCTTGTCTTCACTGTTACTGAATATTGCTGGTGCTAAACCAACATATGAAAGTAGAAATAGAAAACGTAGTGTATTAGAAAATGGGTAGAATGCAGTAAGTCAGACAGGGAATTATAGAACCAGCTGAAAGGACTCAGTTAGTTAGGAAAGAAACCTAATATAGATTATAGAATGCATGGCACATTAATGAGGCTACTTAAAAGAGTTTATTTATCAAAATAGTTTTTTGAAAATACATTTTAAAATGTGAAAGGGTGAGAGGGAGGAAAGGAGAAAGTTATATATGTGTATGTGTTTGTGTGTGTGTGTGTGTGTGTATGTATGGAGAGAGAGATATCTTCCATTTGCTAGTTCACTTTCCAAATCCAAAATACCTGGTGCTGTGTCAGTCTGGAACCAGGGGCCCAGAATTCTACCATGGTCTCCCATGTGGGTGGAAGGGACTCAAGCACTTGGGCCATCCTCCACTACCTTCCCCAGATGTATCAGTGGGGAACTGGATCAGAATCAGAGGAGCTAGCACTCATATAGGATAGTGGTCTTGCGGGGGTAGCTTAGCTCACTTCACCACAACATTGACCCTGAAAATAAGTTTTATTTTGAGATGAATACAGAGTTTTGTTATAATGTGCAACTGCCATGAATTTTTAAAGACTTGTCATAGAGTCATACCATGATCAAAGGAAAGGTATCAGAGTTAAATGTTTGTTTAGGGATAGGAATTTTTGTTTGGTTTTTTTTTTCTTGAAAATTATCAGACAGGAACAGATATTATGATGCAGCATGTTAAGCCGTAACTTGAGATGCCTGTCTCCTATATTTGAGTGACTGGCTCATCCATGGCTGTTAGAGGCATTTGCGGAGTGAACTAGCAGATGAAGGCTTTTTCCATATATAGCGCCCCCCTCTGTCTCCCTTTTGTTGTGCTCTGCCTTTCAAATAAACATTGGCGGACAACTGGGTACTTTAAAATTTCCATTGAAATGCAGTGTGACTTCTGTATATGTATGTCACCATCGTCTTACTCTACAGATATCGGCTTATGTCATGCTTCCTGGTTTTCAAAGAAGTACTGTAGGAGCTAAGATGCCACTTTGTGGCCTTTAAAATTTGCAAAGGTTAATGCAGCGCAACAGATGGTAGTTATACTGCTGGAAAGAGCATGTGCTGGAGGCAAAATTGTAATGGTTTTATTTGTAGACTACTTACATGCTAGGATTCATTCTGACTTCTTCACATGTCATAGTTGATTTAGCCATCACAATAGCCCTGTGAGATAGATAATATGATTTGTTTACCGATGTAAAGAAGCTGATTTATTGAGAGTTTATGTAACTTGCCCAAGGTCAGACAAATGGAAAAAGTGGTAAAGCCAAGTTTCGTGTAGAGGCAGCTAGGCCCACAACCAGAATTTCTTAACTGCTTCACTGTTCTGGATGGATGCAGGGAGGATAAAATATGCCTGTTTATTCCAAGCATGACGTGAAAATCTTCCTTCTTTGTGAGTTGGGGGATCTAGCATGGTCTGCCTGGACCCTGAAGCGGAGAGTTACTGCCTGTGAGTGAGAATCCTGTGTGCACATGTGTGTAGAACCAAGGCTTGTGGGACTTCTCTTCCCTATCACTACTGCTGAAACTGTATTTTGCCGAGTTAGCCTCTTGAGTAAACAGCGGCTGTATGGAAATGGACAGCAGAGGTCAGTACTGAGCTGAAGAGCTCAGAGGTTGCCAGACTGTAGCAGCCTGAGCAGAAGTGTGTATCAGCGTCCTTTGTTGAAACAGAATTTTACAAATTAAAAAGAGAGAGAGAGAGAGAGAGACAGAGTAGAGTCTTACTAATTGTGGTTTTGTTTTTGGATTATGCATTAGTATTTTTAGATTTTATGGGGTATACCATAATGATTCAGCAGATGAAATTAACGTTTCCATTTCCAATTCATTTCTTTATGTTGGGAGCTTTGAGGTTCCTCTGTTACTTCTTCATAAAATATGGTTGTCACATTGTGCTGCTGTACTCTACAATGTATTCTTGCTGTTTAAATGTGCTTTAGTACCTGGTCATGCTCCATCCCACACTTCCCCATTTCTAGTAATCACTACTATACATTCAGATTAATCTTTTTAAAATTTCCACATTTGAGAGAAAATATATGCTATCTGTCTTTCTATGTCTAGTTTGTATTACTTAAGGTATATTCCAAATATGCCCATTTTACTGCACATGAAAGGATCTCACATGCACTGGTGCTTGCTGCAGCCCAGTCTGGCATAGCCTGTCTCACCTTGGCATTTGCCAGGGGCTGCTGTGTGCATATTGTTTTGTTTCGAATTTTTGCATTTATGTTCGTCAGGGATGTCAATTTGTATTTCTGTTTCTCTGTTGTGTCTCTATTTAGCTTTGATATTAATGTGATGTTGGACTGGTAGAAGGGGTTTGGGAGGATTGCCTCCCTGTCCATTGATTTAAATAAAGAATTGTAATCAGTTCTTCTTGGAATATTTCATAGAATTCACCAGTTAAACCATCTGACTCTGGGCTTTTCTTTGTTGGGAAGGATATAATTATTGATTCAATCCCCAGCCTGTTTATAGGTCTGTTTAGATTTTCTATTACCTCATGATTCAGTTTTGGTATGATTTGTGGCCAGGAATCCATCCATTTCTTGTAGGTCTTCTGATTTATTGGCATATAGTTGCTTATAATAGTTCCTGATTATCCTGTGTATGTCTGAGATTCATTATGTATTCTTTTTTGTCTCTGATTTTATGGATTTGTGTTCTCTCTCTCTCTCTCTCTCTCTCTCTCTCTCTCTTTTGGTTAATTGAACTACAAACATATCTATTTTGTGTATTTCTTGAAAGAACCAGAGAAGGATTCATGGGTGTTATTTGTTGTTCTTTTGATCTCTGATTTATTTCCTCAATTAATTTGATTATTTCTCTTTTTTCTGCTCCTTTTGGATGGTTGTGCTGTTGTTTCTCTAGCTCCCTCAGATGTATGATTAGCCCATTTGCTTGGTGCTTTTCTAATTTCTTAACATAGATGTTGATTGAAATGAACATTCCTCTTAACACTGCTTTGATTCAGTCCTGTAAGTTTTGGTACGTTGTGTGGATGCCTTAATTCATTTCAAGCAGTTTTTTTTTTCTTTTTTATTTCTTCTATAAGCCATTCATTTAAGATTTATTTTATTTTTATTGCAAAGTCAGATATACAGAGAGGAGGAGGAGAGACAGAGAGGAAGATCTTCAGTCTGACGATTCACTCCCCAAGTGACTGCAATGGACGGTGCTGAGCAGATCCAAAGCCAGGAACCCGGACCTTTTTCCAGGTCCCCAACACGTTTGCAGAGTCCCAAGGTTTTAGGCTGTCCTCGACTGCTTTCCCAGGCCACAAGCAGGGAGCTGAATGAGAAGTGGAGGTGCTGGGACTAGAACCGGCGCCCATATGGGATCCTGGCACGTTCAAGGCGAGGCTTTAGCCACCAAGCCACCACGTCGGGCCCAATATAACCCACTCATATAGCAACATATTATTCAGTCTCCAAATATTTGCATATCTTCTGAGGTGTTTTGACTTGTTGGTCTCCAGTTTTAGTCCACAATGGTCTGAGAAGATGCATGGGATGATTTTACTTTTTGTGTGTTTTTGTTTTTATTTTATTTATTTATTTTTAATTCACTGAGGCTAGTTTTGTGGCCTATGTTGTGATAAATCCTGGAGAAGGTTCCATATACTGATAATAAGAAGGTATGTTCAGGGCCTGGTGTGGTAGCCTAGTCTCTCCTCTTCTCTATATCTGACTTACAATAAAAGAAATCTTTTTTTTTTAAAAAAAAAGTATGTTCACTATCTGTAGGGTGAAAAGGTCTATAGACATTAATTAGGTTCAAATTAGGTTCTGTTATCTAGGTGAGGTGGTTTTCTTGCTGAGTTTCTGTCTCATCAATCTATCCATTGAGGTTAATGGTGTTAAAGTTCCCCATTATTATTGTATTAGTCTGTATCTATCTGCCTTAGGTCTGTCAACAATTGCTTCATGTAGATAGATGCCATGGTACTTGGTGTATATACATATACCATTGTTATTTATTTTTCCTGGTTGGATCCCTTTATTATTATATGGTGGCCTTCATCCGTGTCTTTTAATCTTTTTTCTTATGTTGAAGTCTATATCATCTGATATTAGAATACCTATGCCAGCTCATTTTCCCATTCCTTAGCGTGAAATATCCTTTTCCATCCTTTAAGTTTCCTTGTCTATTTGTTGGTGAGATGTGTCTGTTATGGCAACAGATAGATGGGCCCTGTTTTTTGATCCAATCTGTTAGTCTTTGTCTTTTGATTGATGAATTTAAACCATTTGTGATAAGGGTTAATATCAGTGGAAAGATTTGTTCCTGTCAATTTAACATTGATTTCTTATTGTTTGGTTTAGGTTTCTTTTGTGTTCTTTATCAAGAAGTTCTCCTCCTTTGCCATTGTAGGGTGTAGCTGGCTTTTGTCTTTAACACATTTTTAAATATTTTGTAGGGCTGGTTTGGTAGTGGCAAAGTCTTTTAGTTTCTGTTTTCTATGGAAGTATTTTATTTCATTTTGAAAAACAAGTGAAATTTTGCTATATATGTAATTCTGGGCTGACAGCTATTTTGTTTCAGAGTTCAGAATATGTCACTCCATATTCTTTGGGCCTGAAGAGTCTGCTCTGAGAAGTCAGCAGTGAATCTGATTGATGTTCCCCTACCAGTTATCTGATCCTTCTTGCATGTCTGTTTCAGTATTGTTTCTGTATGTTCAGCTGAAGGCAGTTTGATGATGTCTTAAGGCAAGGATTGCTTCTGAGCAAGTCTGACTTTCTCTGCCCTTCCTGTAGTTGGTTTCCCTGTTCTTTTTTATTGTGGGAGAAGTTCTCTGTAACTAATTCATTGAATATTTCTTGTATTTCTGCTTTTCTTTCCACGCCTTCAGGAGATCCTATCACCTTATATTTGATTTTCTGATGATGTCCTTTAATTCATGCATAGATTTCCTAGCTTTGTTCCGTTCCTTTTCAATATTTCTAATTATTTGAGCATTCTTGAGTAAGGTGCCTTCTAGTTAGGAAATTCTTCCCCATTGCTCATTAGGTTGGTGAGACTTTCTGTTTGACTTTAAGCTTGTATCTCCTTTGTGAATTATTCATCAAATTTTTGCCTTTCATTTTCATTGTTTCTGAAGGGCTTGATTAATTTTTTTAAATTTACTCAGTTTTTATTGTAAAGTCAGATATACAGAGAGGAGGAAAGACAGAGAGGAAGATCTTCCATCCACTGATTCACTTCCCAGGTAGCCGCAATGGCCAGAGCTGAGCCAATCCAAAGCCAGGAGTCCGAAGTCTTCCAGGTCTCCCATGCAGGTGCAGGGTCCCAAAGCTTAGGATCATCCTGGACTGCTTTCCCAGGCCACAAGCAGGGAGCTGTATGGGAGGCAGGACTGCTGGGAATAGAACTGGTTTCCATATGGGATCCTGGTAAGTATGAAATGAGGACTTCAGCCACTAGGCTACCACACCGGGCCCTGATCTCTCACTCTCTCTCTCTCTTTTTCTAATTCTTTGTCCTGGAGATCCTCTATGTCTTCATCCTGTCATTCTAAGATTGAGATTTCCTGATCAGTTTTGCCTCCCCTCACATGTTTTGCTCCTGTAGCATCTAGCTGTACAATCCCTCTTTGGGGGACTCCCATGTGAGTCTGCCTGCTCACTGTCCCTTGTGTTGTCAAATGTACAAGATTCCTGTTTACTGATTGGGTTGCCTTCCTGTGGTTCCCCTTTTCTTACCCTCCTCTCAGACTGTGGGCTGAAAATTCAGGCATTTTCAACAGGTTTTCCTTGTCCACACAGCTCATTGTCCCCATGCACACATGTAAAAGACCCAGAATAAACTCTTGGCTCTTAACTTCAGATTGGCCCATTTCTAACCATAGTGGCCATTTGGAGAGTGAACCAGTGGATGAAAGATCACTATCTTTGTCTCTCCTCTCTGTAACTCTGGCTCTCATATTTTTTAAAAAAAATTAAAAATAAAATGATAAAATTATTGACAAGACATGAGAGAATCAAACCACTCTATTGAAACACTTTATGTAAGAGCAGTATAAATGTAGCATATACAAGACATGCTCTAGAATAAATTACATAGTAATGAAACTGACCTGAGATGCCCTTTTGCCTTCTTACCCTGTCTTTCACACCTCCCTTCACAGTGTAACACATTTTCTCTAAGGTGTAGGTGACTGGGCTGTACTTCTGGTAGAAGGAAGATGACAGTAGGTATACATCTTAAGAGTTGAACTCTGGCAGAATTTTATCTTAATAATTTAAACCTAATGGTGATTTAAAGCCACTATTTCTAGCTGAGATATTTAATAAAATTTATATTGCTTTTTAAGATTAATGGGATTATCAACCTAATAACATTTTGATTAAATTAATGAAAAGGGGTTTATTTTTTTTTTGACAGGGCGCAAAAGAATAGGGAGTCTCTACAAATGGGTAGAGATGTTTGTCTAATAGTGTTTGTTATTCTCATAAACACATTTTAAACCTGTTATATTACTGGACAGAAGCAAGTGATGTGATTCTATAAACTACATGTCTTAAGAATACTATTACAATTTTTTTAAATTTAACAAATTTAGACCTTCGTTTTTCTTCTTGTTTACTTAGAACAAATTAATTCCAGTGTAAGTACTTTTTGACCTTCACAAATAATTATAGTCACTATGTTAATACCTGCTATTGTTATGCACATGTCTGATATAGTCCTATCATTATTTTACCTGTGGAGTTCAAAATATAGGCATTTTTGAACCTAGACTATAACATTTGTAACATTTCACACATAAAACTAGATCTAAGTAAAATAAACAAACCTTAAAAGACAAACCATTGAAATAAAATATATATCCTCTCATTTCTGTTTTCTTTTATCCAGGAAGATTCCTGACCAGACTTGGGTGCAGTGTGATGAATGCCTTAAATGGAGGAAGCTTCCTGGCAAGGTGGATCCATCTATACTACCTGCAAGATGGTTTTGTTACTATAATTCCCACCCAAAGTACAGGTGAGGGTCCAGGATTCAATATTGTACCTGAGATGATTCTGTATTTGCCTTTTTAGTCTAAAGCACTTTTTTTAAAAAAAATGATTTTTATTGGGAAGTCAGATATTCGGAGAAGTAGAGACAGAGAGGAAGATCTTCCATCTGCTGGTTCACTGCCCAAGTGACCACAATGGCCAGAGCTGAGCCGATCTGAAGCCAGGAGCTTCTGAGTCTCCCACTCATGTGCAGGATCCCATGACCTTGGGCCATCCTCAGCTGCTTTTCCAGGCCACAAGCAGGGAGCTGGATGGGAAGCGGGGTGACCAGGATTAGAACCAGCAGTCATATGGGATCCCCTAGCATGTGCAAGGCAAGGACTTTAGCCACTAGGATACTGCGCCAGGCCACTAAAACACTTTTTATCTCAAGTTTACAGTTTTCAGTTTGGTATTCAAGCCATATACTGATTGGCAGCACATCACTTGTCTAGCCTTATTGTTCATTATAACACTTTTTTAAAGATTTATTTATTTTTGTTGAAAGATTTACAGAGAGAAGCAAAGACAGATAGAAATAATCTCCATCCACTGGTTCACTCCCTAATTGGCCACAGTGGCGGGAGCTCAGCCAATTCAAAGTCAGGAGCAGAAACTTCTTCTGGGTCTTTTACATGGGTACAGGGTCCCAAGGCTTTGGGCCATTGTCCACTACTTTCCCAGGCCACATGTGGGGAGCTGGATGGGAGTACATCATGTGGGACACGGACCAGCAACCACAGGAGATGCCAGTGCCTCAAGGTGGAAGATTACTCTGTTTAACCACAATACTGGCCCCGGTTCATTCATTACACCTTAGTCTAAACTATAACTTTGTGTCTCATCCAGATCTGTGATTTCACTATTCCCCACACATGCCTCCTCCATGACTTTGACATTGTCTTGTTGCTTTCAGTTTCTTCCTGTATTTCATCTGCCTATCCAAATCGTATCCATCTGGAGAGTTTAAACTCTTTGCGTGAAATTTTCCCTGTTGAAAATAGTTTGTACTGATTTTATGCTGAATTCCTGTGGCATTAGATTGCTGACATTGGTTCATACACTGTTTTGTCTTCTTTTCATATGTGTATGGTTTGGTTCTTCAAGATATTGTAAACTCCACAAGAACAAGGGCTTTACATTCCAAGTTGAGCTGATCATTTTCTCCATATGCTTCCTCTATGGAATGAATGCTGTAGTGACTATTGTATGATCAATGTTACTGATTTGCATGTTTGATTTCCTAATATACTATGCTCCTTGAAGCATACAATCTCTAAATAGTGCCTGACATGTTTATTTAACAAATTTTTTACTTGACTATTGCATAGGTTCATAAAAACACATTGATTTCCTTTGAATCAGCCATAGGTTTCCTAAAGTCCTTTTTTTGTTGATAGAATAAAATACTGACAGAAAAGAAAAGGTAGTAAAACAAAGTACACCTTTTAGGAAGCCTGTCTGAAATATAGGGCATCTAGCAAATGCGTCTCGGTCTGTCGTGTCAGCATCTTCTCATAGTGTCCAGATGGACCTTCCTGTGAATGGTGGTGTGTGGTTAAAATGAGGCTAAGTGCCTAGAAATTTCATCTTTAACACCTTGTCTCCTCGTTGCATGTGGCATGAGAGGTTTCTAGGCCACTCCATTGCCTTGTAAAATGGGTATAACCTAACTTCCAATTATTAACTTCTGTTTGTTTGTAGGATAACTTTTGCACATAAGTGAAAATTTTCAGTATGCATTTCAGTGTTAACTGCTAAAATTCTGTTCCTCATGCTTTACACGTAGTGAGGTTTTGTAATATGGTTGAGATCTGAACTCTTACTTGTCAGAGGGTTGTCTTAGTGGTAAGGAACATAAAAGTTAAAGGTGAAACCAAAGCACATCCAAGTGATGATTGTTTTCTTTCTACTGCAGGAGGTGCTCTGTTCCAGAGGAACAAGAATTCATTGATGAAGAGCTGTGCTTGAGCAAAGCTAAGAAACAGTTGAGTATACATGAGGTGGTGTTTTTACATCATAGACTAGAGGAGCTTTACTCTCCCAAATGGGACAGAGGAGTTTTAAGAAGGAGAAATCTTTGCTTCGTAGTAATTCCTCTGCTCTGCTATTTCTTTATTTCTTTTAACCATCTCCTGAATGTCTTACTAATGCTTGTTGATTGTTTTATGTCTCCTCCCTTTCCCTCAGTGGAATAGCTGACATCTCTTTTTAGGAGCATAGTTTGGGAAGACACCTTTAGTTACTTCATGAGGTTCACATTAGTTCTAATTTGGAAGTAACAGTATAACTTGCTGCTGCAATTGGTGATCCAGTCCATATTGCTAAGTGTCATGAGGGAACTAAATACCACTTTTAATCTTTCTCTTAGAGATCAAACTGTTGAGAAGAAGATGCCTGTGGAAGATGAAGACCATCAGGTGAGATAGTCCACTTCATCCCTTTGCTCACACAAAATTTTTCCCAACAGAGAATCTAGGTTGGAAGAAGCAGCAGACTTAAAAGCTGAATAGCCTTGGAAAGCCTTGAAATAAACTGTTTCTTCTGGTGATCATTTTATTGGGTCTTAGGGTTGGTTTTGATCCATTGTTGTCAATGTTCAGATCATCCAAAACTGGAGAGTCACATCACCTGTCTCCCAGATTTGGATTCAGTACTGATTTGGTGCAATGTGAATGTCATATTCAGTGTCACGAATACTTTGGGTTATGTTCCATCATCATACAGGCTGCTCCTGTTGAGTGTCTGGTTTTCCTGTCTCTTCCAGGATTCGGGGTGATTCCTTCCTCCTTCTCTTGGGAAGAAGGGGTGGTTCTTTGTGCCCCCTCCCCAATCCCTGCTTTCAGGCTGGCTGGCTTTATAAAGACTATGCTGTTTTGAATTTTCAGGAGCACTGTCTCTCGGACATGGTTGCCCAGCTCCGGACGCTGAAGGGTGCAATAAGGTTGGCCGTCCTTTCAGGGACACTCCTTTCCTGACAGCCACCATAGCACCCATGTATCTTCCCCACCCAACCTTGCCTTTCTGCATGTTTTCCCTCTTGAACTCTTTCCCAGAAAGATCTACTAGTCGCATGTTAGATTCACCTTCCACCCACTCAATCAGGGTAGGGGAGACTGGTGAGGATAGAGGCAACTTAATATTATTTTTTTCTGATATCCTGCCAAGGCTCAAGCATATGAACAACTAGACTTCATATCCTGATGTCTTGGCTTTGGCTTTATAAGTCTCATTTAGGGTTTGGGAGATTTCCTAGGACTGTCCTGTCCTCATTCAGTTTACCCACTCCTTACATTTCTTCACCTTAATCATTCATACTATTTTCATAAGCTGGCTCTCCTAGAAGATGCATGTCTCTGTGTGTGTGCACTATGAGTATATGTTAGTCTCTCGCATGCAGTTCTCCAAAACCAACACAGACACTTGGTGCAATGCTCTTTTGCCTCCACTCCTACCCTCATCACAGATCTCAGGAGAAAGCCCAGCCTTGAATTGGGTCACAAGACAGAATCAGACGTGACTCGGGGCTTGGGTTTATGTTGTGGGGGGATAGCTCTAGGAACCAATAAGTGAGTTGAGGGAAGTTTGTTAGGTGTCCAGTTGATAAGGTTGATAACTGAATGTGCCTGGATTCAGTATCCTAGTGTTTATTACTGTGAGCTGCTTGTTTTCTATAGGAAAAGTTTTGTTTTTATTTTTTTTGTTTGTTTTTTGTCCAAGCATTCTTTCCTAGCATCAGAAGGATTGACTCATCCTTTGATATTTGGCTTGAATTTGGAGTTCTTATGAATCATTTCTTTCTTTGTTAGGCATTCGGTGATCCACCAAAGATACCTCCTATTCAAGATGTGGCTGGATTGAAAGACAAGACAGTTGGATGTGAAATAGTTCATAGTCCTAGCCTACTTCGGTCTCTAGAAAGCAGATCACCTTCTCTTCAACTGAAGCCTCTGGATTCCAGTGGTCTTACGTTTTCCAGGTGACTAAATAACGTAGTCTGTTATCAGTAGTAAGCTTCAGAGTCTGTTTTCCTCTGGAGTAAATTCATATGATTTAGCATGCTTGTATTTTTCTAATGCTTAGCATGGAATTCAACAGGAAAAAGATAATTTTGACCTGATAGAATTGTGTTTTGCACATTTCTCCAGTGTCTCAATGTTACAATATCTATTTCAAATTTCTATATTTTTCAGATGGTCATTTCCTGATGCTCTTTTATGTATTATATATTCACTTACGTTAGAATACAGGTGCAATAATGGATGGGATAATTGTTTGATAAACATGAAGTGCTTTCAGTGGGGGTAATGATACATAGATAAATATTGTTCTTTTTCTTAAGTTTTTCATATTGAAGTCCTTGGGGCCTCATATTGGTCACAAATAAAAATAACAATCAGAGATCTGTACTATTAAGTCATTCTTATCAGACCTTGTTTCTTAGAATAAATTATTTGTATAGGGTTAGTCTTGGGCTTTACTTGTCCCTTTTCTAGCACCTCTTTAATGTTATAAGGTATTTTTTAAAAAACTCATGGAAATGAGATTGAAAGACTTGTTTTGATATAATTTTCAAATATCTATGCATATAAAACTCCTTCAAGAAGTTCATGGAAATGAATAGTATAAAAATGCGCATTATTACTCCTTGCTTTCTTCTCTCAGCTGTGCTACTCAGCTCAGCAGTGCTAAGATAAAGGGCAGGTACAGAATTGCTCAGTAATAGTACAAACTTTCGCAGGCATCACGAATGTGACTATCATATAGTGGGATGTGAATTTTTCAGTGATCCTTTGAAGTTCTGAGATCATTATAATGTTGGAGGAAGGGGACAAATGACCCTGATTTCTTTTCGCCCCGAATGTTATTGATTCCGTGTTAATGATTCTTAGATGAAGCCTTTGGTCTCTCATCTAGAGAAATCTGTTTGTCACCTAATTAGTGATTCTTCCATAGTTAGGCCCTATAAATATTGGAAAAGCCCCATGACCTCTTTTATATGAAGAAAAAGTCTCAAGGGGAAATGACCTTTAATGAGGAAATTTTTTTAAAGATTTATTTATTAGAAAGGCAGAGCAACAGAGAGTGGAGGGGTCAGAGAACAGAGAGAAAGAGAGAGATCTTCTATCCACAGATTCACTCCCAAATGGCCTGAACAGCCAGGTTTGGGCCAAACCAAAGCCAGGAACGAAGAATTCCATCTGGTTCTCCCACATGTGTGGCAGGGGCCCAAGAACTTGGGCTATCTTCCAGTGCTTTTCCAGGCTCATTAGCAGCAAGCTGGACTGGAGTGGAGCAGCCAGGACACTGATATATGATGCCAGTATTACAAGTGGTGACTTAACTCGCTGTACCACAAAGCTGGCCCTGGGACAAAACATGTAAAGTGTTAAGTTAGAGTCTGCAAGGAAGCATCTGGAGCAGTCCTTTGAAACAGAAATTAGATAATAAGTAAGGATTGAATTTGATTCATACTAGAGGATCAATTTCTAAGTTTGGGTTAATTAATAGGAGGATAAGAAGTATAGTCCAGCCTTTATTTCAGGGCCTTGAACTTAATGCTGTTCTGTTCCTATCCATGTATTTCCAGCTGCCATTACATGTTGGAAAGTGGGCACAGTAAAGGCTATGTTTTTATGAAGTACACTTTTAACTTCCTTACCTAGATCTCCTGGACATGCTTGAATATCTCGGTTGCTACTGGAATATCATGTGTTATTTCTCTTGGCTCTTCCCAAGTGTGATTTTTTTTCTTTCTCCATACTATGGCTGTTGTTGTTATTGTTGTTGTTATAACTTTTGTGGTTTTGCTAACTTTGAGAGATGTGTAAATACTTAGTCACTATTTTGTGAGTGCAGTATGGTAGTGCTTCCATTGGGTGGCACACTTCATCAGTCTTGTATGAGTCTTTAGAGAATGCTCTATCTGGAGTTGGATTTTGGCTGCAGAGGAAAGATGAAGTACTTGAACCAATGTTGTGGGATTTTAACTTGTAAAGAATAAGATTGTTTCAAAGGAAAAGTTTAAATGGTAGAGATATATGATGCCACTGGTGTTATATGTGCTGTATAAGTTCAGTGGATGATGATTGTGTTGTTTCAAGCTACACATACAGGTACATTCAAATTGGAGAGAAATTGCTGTTTTCAAGGATTTAACAAAATACTCTGGTGTCAGATAAATCTGTGTCAGTGGGATAACAGGTTTAATCAAGAGTTATAGAGATGCCCCTTGTTGTTATCAAAACTGAAAGCTGAGAGGTGTACTTGGGTCCTGTAGATCACTTCACTTACTCTAGACAAAATAAAGCCTACACTGCTTGAGAGAACTTTTAAGACAGTCTAATGGGGTACATTTGTTGAGGCTTAAGAGCTACCATTGGAAACAGCTTTATAGATTTGATAAAATCCAGCATATGAGAGGAAAAAAACCTCAGTAAAAAAAAAAATGTCAGCCTGTATATACACACACATAGCCTTTTACAGGATGACAGCTATTTTTTCTTTAAAGAAATAATGCCATTTGTTCATTATTCCACATACATTTGAGTTTATTTTGTGGAATGCATAGTTCTAGGGTGCTGATGGAATCAAAGACGAAAAAACTTAGTCAAAATAGTACAGGCATCTAGAATGCATGCTAATTGCTTTATACCTGCTATAAACTCAGGTCTAAAGTACCCATAACCATATGGAATAAGGCAAGAATTGGTGGCTGTAATGTATTTGGGTGTTTTGAGTAAACTGCATGTCAAAACATTATTTCATGTTTTAAAAAGAATAGCAAAATGTCTGAATTACTCTGTGATGGGAGGAGAGGAAAAGGAACATTTGAGTGTGTTCAAAGGAATATTCGATTTTCAAATAAATGAGATTGATTCAGGGGGCCAATATTAACATTTAAAATATGATCTTGGAGTGTTTGCTTCGGCTGCACATATACTAAGAATTATGATCTTGGGAGCAAATACCAGAATGCAGAAATGAAAAGCCTGGTGGATTGTCAACAAATAACCATTAACTGGGAAAAAATTGAAAATTCAGAGTTTCTAGAAAGTGTCCTGGGATAATACAGCAAATAGAGAAATAATAATATAAGAAAACCTTTTCAAACTCAGCAAAAACAGCAAGAGCCTGTGACATTTGAACCACAAACTGCTGCCACCGCACTCCAAACTTAGTTTTATGAAAATTGCTCAAGAGAACTCCAATCTAGGTGGGTGTGGCCAAGAAGATGGGGACTCCATGTTCCTTAGCTGCCTGTTTAGAACTATGGTTTCACCTGGGAGGGACATGCCCCTAGTTCTCTGTGTTTTATGTATGTTTACACACACATTTATTATATATAATATATGCACATATACCACATATGTTACAGATATACACACACACATTTTGATTTATATATTTTTTATTGGAAAGTCAGATTTATAGAGGGAAGGAGAGACAAAGATCTTCCATCTGCTGGTTCATACTCCAAGTGACCACAATGGTCAGAGCTGAGCCGATCTGAAGCCAGGAGCCAGGAGCTTCTTCCAGGTCTCCCGCACGGCTGCACAGTCCCAAGGCTTTGTGCCATCCTGTACAACCTTGCCAGGCCAAAAGCAGGGAACTGGAAGGGAAGTGGAACAGCCAGGACATGAACTGGTGCCCATATGGGATTCCAGCAGATGCAAGGCAAGGATTTTAGCCACTAGCCTATCATACTGGGCCATTCTCTGGTTTATGTCTTACAGTGACACTATTCCATGCAAGCTAAAAAGGACAGAGTCTCTTTTCTCCGACCCAGCTTTCTCTTCCCTCACCGAACTCCTACTTTTAGGGTAGAAGCACTCACCCAGGTACTATGCCAGACTAACAATCCCAACCCCTATTGTTCTGCTGGAGTCTGCTCATAGGTCTGGATTCCTTAATGGATCAAGCAAGCCAAAACCACCTGAACATCCATTCAGGAAGTTTTCACTATGGCAGAAGTGGGCCACTGTCCCAGTCTTCAATTCTTGTACTGTGCTAAAGAGATTCTGCAGAGAGAGAGAGAGAGAGAGGCAGAGAGAAGGATGAAGAACTTCACAGATCTGCCTGAAAGAGCTTTTTTTTTCTGTAACAAAGCATGAAGAATACCATGACTAAAGAAGGGCATTGTAGAAAACAGTAGAGATTTTGATGACTATAAGAGAAAGGACTCATAACTTCATGGTACCATTTGCAACAAACAGATGGCCAAGTTACAACAAACAATCCGAAGTTTGGTAACAGAGACTTGGGGAACACTCCTAGAATCATAGGCAATCCTGGTTATAAGGAAGGCTGTACATAAGAATCAATTAGAGCAGGTGAATTTGAAAGGAGTCTCCAACCTGCATGCTGATCGACATCAAAGGATAGTGGCCTCACTGGCCTAGAGGCTTAAGTATTCATTACTTCTGACCCTCGACTGACTGAACAATAAGCTATTCTGACCTATGATCAATTTCTAAGACTCCAGGTTTAAAAATAGAATGATACACATCCTTGGCAATCCAAAAGATCAATCACAGTCCAGGTTGTGTAGTTTCAGAGGGGATCGAGAGGGAAAACTTAAGCTGCTAGTGCATAGGTGCACTTCAGTACACTTCAAGAACTTAAGACTGAGGCAGTGGCCTAGTTCTGCTAGGGTGAATTGTGGGGCAGATGCATGCACTTCATTAGTGGTTATAGCGACCTTCAAGCCACACACACACACACACACACACACACACACACATATCCAACAGTAAAGGATGAAAAACAAGCTGGCCAAGAGAGCTTAAACATGACCTTTGATTAACAAGTGGCCTGTGCTGAGCAAGGGTGAATCCTAAGTTTCCAGGTAGAAGGCTAAAAACAAAGACAAAAAACAAATCTGAACAAGGTCACCGGTAGCCTATTGTAGGGCAGATGGACTTATGGAATCGGTTCAGCCAAGTCATTTAATAAACAACTAACCAAATAAGCAACATC